CCCTATAAATAGAGAGTATGAGAAGAGTTGAGATGGGATTTTGGGGTGTTTTCTTTTTCATTTTTCACTTACAAAAATGAGAAACGAAAAAACCCTAAAATTCCCCATTGACGGAGCTCCCTGTTACATTCCAAATACTTGTTGAGGTCTTCTAAAATACCCTCTTCAATCATATATCACTTCTATTTCTTTTTTTTTTCTTTTTTAATTGACGAGTTAGACTCAGGTATTGAAGAAAGCGATGAAGCTGATTAGCGATGAAAGTGAGTATAATTTTTCACAACTAAATATTAATGATATATTAATTAATTTTCTTTTTAATCATTATGATCTTCAATTTTTTTTTCCTTTCTTTGTTTCGTTTTGTTTTTTGCAGGTTTGTTTTATGATTAAGAAAACCCTATTGAAGTTCGACGAGAAGGATACTTTCGAACTTGGATTACAAAGATGAAGTTAGGTCAAAGATTTTTGGATTACAATTGGCCCTAGATTTGAGGACTGTTTTATGTATTGGGAGAAGGCCATTTTATGAAAAAAATTGAATTATATATAATGGATGTAATCAGAATTGGCCATAGATCATTTGAGGATTGCTTTATGTATTGGGAGAAGGCCATTTTATAAGAGAATTGTGGAATTTTTGATAGGGTTAAGTCAATTTCAAATGATGATCCATTGGCATTTGTTAGTTGAGAAGTGTGAAATCAAACCACAAGTTCAAATATTGAATTTTCCTAATACATAATTATTGAAATTTGAAATGTAAAAAACATCGTGATTAGTCTTAAATGTGACAATCATTAATTTCTTATTTTATTATATGATTCATTGAATAAGTACCAAATATAAACATTAACTTACCATATGTAAACACTAAACAACAAAAGATTAATCTATCATTCGCTGTACCAAAGATTTTTTATAATTTCATATGCCTACAATAAGAGAAAAACACAAAAACAAATTAAAGTTCCATGAGAATATATCATAGTTAGCAAATACCTGAGCTGGCCTGACAATACAACTTCAGATCCAAAACTCCTATATGAAGAGAAGAAAGGCAGAGAATTCAGATGGGGCTTTGGGTCTTTTTTTTTTTTTTTCATTACATAATGAAAGAAAACCCTAAAAGCCCCCGCAAAGAATAGCTCTCTTCACTACTACAGACAGGTATTCTTTTCTTCAACTTTGGTTAACTGGTTTCTTCTTCAAGTAGAATTGATGGAGCCATGAAAGAAAGCATAGGCTTGATGAAGATGAAGATGAACATTGATCCTTGTTAATCTTTTTTTGTTCTTGAATAATTAAATAATGGATGTTGAAGAGTTGTTACATTTTCATGTCATGTAATGTTGAAAGGGTATTAATTAATATTCCAACTCTTATTTTCTCTTTTATTTATTTTTTCCAATGATCTTGAGTGGATTTATTTTACATGAAGAAGAGAGTTTAACAAATAATAGTTTAAAAGATCTATTTTAATAGCAATTTAACAACTCAATCAAAATACAATTATCCTATATAATAAAATGTTTATTAGGCCCGACGGAAAACTAAATATAAATGAACTCTCAATTCAAATGGTAAAACTCCAAAGTTGGTTAAAACTATATACTTTTCTTAACATAAAGGATCAAATCATCTCCTTATAAGCCTAATATATATTGATATATACATATATTTTTTCTTACTTTCATTATTGGTTCTCATTTTAGCCATTTCAACTTGTAATTAACAAAGATAATATAATATATACGAGCTAGTGTGAATCAATTTATTTATATTAAGTCATAAAATCATTTGTATTGTTCTATAGCATGGAAAAAAAAAAGGAAAATCATATTAGTTGATGTTATAACAATCACTATCAAGAAAACCAGAAACATAAACGATAAACAAGCATCCACAAAATCACAACACCACAATTTTTACCGTGGTTCACCTTTCCAAGAATGGGAAGGCTACGTCCACGTTCAGCTTTGAAAATGGATGAAGCTCACTGCACTAATTTATTAACCAATTTACAGATTACAGACACAAGATCAAACTATCCAAGAAAACCCGAAATCTGGTAATAAGCAATCCTAGGAAACTAACACTCAGATTCCCTGCCCTAAGAGAGACAAAACCCCTGTATTATAATGATAAACCCAATCACTCAACAAGTCACACAGAATCAAGATTTCAGAATAGCAAAGATGAACCCTAGCAGAGCAAACCTAATACACAATATCAATCGATTTTTAATCCCCTAATGAACTGAGAAAAGTTTGCTTATATATCGTTGACCAGGATTGACTGATCTCTGCCGTTGGATCTCTTGAAGACTGATGGTCCAGATTCATTGTTGAAACGACAGCGTATTGGTTTAAGTTACACGGCATCGTTTCAGTCTTCACATTTACAGTTGATTTATTAAATGTTAAGAAATATAATAGAATAAATTAATTGCATATTTTCGGACCACGACAAATATTATTGATAACATTTACTTATTTTTGTTTTTGGTTTCCCCTTTTTAGTAAAGAAAATTAAGATCTTCAGTTACTAACTCATATTACATAATGTTGTAACTAAAAAGAGGATACTAATTTTGTTTAGTTATTATATGGTTAATGAATTATAGGTAATTAATTAAATCCCATTATTGCTCATGATAAAAAAATGGTTGAAATTGTTTATTGTTTTTGGTTTTTCATTTCAAAACATATTAATATGAAATTCTGTAGCTAATATGTGGGTGGTTGCCAGTGACTAATTTGAGCATTATCTTAATTAACATGTCATTAACTGATAAAATTAATTATATATAGAATAATAGTAGATGTGCAAATTTTTTATACAAACTCTTGAATACTAACGGATGTGATACAAAGTGGATGTATGGAGTTTTATACAAAATTAACTCAATAAATGGTAATTAATATAAATAATAATAAGATGAAAAAAACTATAATTATTTTAAAAGCTTATTTATATCTAACCGTCGGTAAACACTAAACAACAAAAGTTTAATTTATCATTCGCTGTACCAAAGATTTTTTATAATTTCATTTGCCTACAATAGGAGAAAAATACAAAATCAAATTAAAGTTCCATGAGAATCTATCAGAGTTAGCAAATACCTGAGCTGGCCTGTCAATACACCTTTAGATCCAAAACTCCTATATAAAGAGAAGAAAGGCAGAGAACTGAGATGGGGCTTTGGGGCAATTTCTTTTTCATTTCATAATGAAAGAAAACCCTAAAAGCCCCCACAAAGAAGCTCTCTTCACTTCTACAAGTATCAATATCTATCAACTCTGATCAACTGGTTTCTTCTTCAACCTTCATTTTGTGGAGTTCATGGAGCCATGAAAGGAAGTCTGCATGATGAAGATAAACATCCTTGTTAGTTTTTCGTTTGTTTATGTTTTTGTTCTTGAATAATAATGGATGTTGATCATCAATTTTGTATTTTTCATGTTATGTAATGTTAAAGGATATTAATTAATTAATTTTCCAACTCTTGTAGTTTTCTCTTATTTGTTTATTTCTTGCGTGGTAGACTGGTAGTAGAGTACTTCAGCGGCGCAAACAATATGGATTATCGATCCAAGTTGAGTGACGCATTATTACGTTGTTAAATAGAGACTTTTTCGAGAAAATTTCTTGTGTAGAGATTTGGTTCATCGGTAAATGGTATTTTTCGTGGTGATTAATTTAACATGAAGAAAAAAGTTTAATAATTAATAATATATATTGTTTATTTTAATAATAATATTAATAATTCAGTCGAAAAACAATTATTTCTGAGAACAAAATGCTTGTTATGTTTAATATCTTTAGTTTCATATATATCCTCTTAATTCTGCCCTTTATTCATAAAATTGATTTCATTGTTCTGCAAGTTTCTGTTAGTTATCGATGAGATCTGTAATATCATTCTAGGAAAATAATTATTTAAGTTCGAGAAAAATCTTTTTAACAATTAATAAGATCATACAAAGTCTTACAATATGAATGAAGGCTCAATTCAAACAGTAAAATTCTTGAGCAACCAACTTTTTATTTATCTTGGTCTTTTTCTTTTCTTATCAAGTCTTAAAATGTTTATTTTATTGTTAAACATAACAGTTACATGAATATAACACACACACACACACACATACATTTATAAGGGCGCAAATCATTTCATATATATATGCTCAAATATCAACAGTGAATTCTGGTGTTGTTTAATACCAAATTAAAAAGGGAAAATCATCTTATTTGATTCATTAAATGTTTATAAAAATAATGGAAATAAATTAATTGTATGTTTCCGGACGACGACAAAAATGATTAAGAACATTTACCTATTTTTGTTTTTGGTTTCCCTTTTTTAGTAAAGAAAATTAAGATCTTCAGTTATTAACTCATATTACATTATGTAGTGATTAAAAAGAGTATACCAACTTTGTTTAGTTATTATATGGTTAATGAATTATAAGGTAAATTAATTAAATCCCATTACTGCTCTTGAATCTTGATAAAAAGGTTGTTGAAAATGTTTAATGTAAAAAGTTGTTAAAACATATTAATACGAAAATCTCTTTCTATTTCATTGATCTTCCCTCAGATCTTCACTAATTATATGAGGTTAAGGGTTCCTCAAAATTAAAGAAATAATTTCTGAAGCATTGTATCATGGAGCTGCTCTGTTTCAATATGCCTAATTTGTTATCTATATAGTAATAATCTTACTTATAGACTAGAAACTTTATCTAATCAATTACAAAATGTTGACGATATGTAACTTTGATCAAATGATATTATATTAAAAAAGAATAATCACATATAACTTTAATATTTTAAGCTTATTGTATACACAGTCAACTTAAGAATAAGATTGAAAAGAACAAAAAAATGGATTCTGTTTAGTACAAGATTCAATTAATATACAAATTACTACAATAATGGAATTTGTGTAACCATATGTAATATGTGTTGATGATTTAATTTTTCTGTAAGACGTGGAGCTGCATTCTGCAGGGAGGCCCTGGGGAAATCTCTTGGTGTCACTGCAGTAATTGTATATCATGTAGTTCTTCTGAACCCATTTCAGTCTCTCTTGACCTGTTGTATCAAGTTCTTGGGAGAGCCAGGACGAAGAAGAAGGTGAGTTTGAAGTGCAAGAAGATTTTCCATTAGACCAAACACAAGCATCAGTTTTGAAGTTTCTGTAGGAAGCAGTGAAAGGAGCTTGAGTCCAATCAGTCTTCACAAGTCCACCTCTTGTAGCCCAATCATCAGCATTCCAAAGAGAAGATTATATTCTCATTGGCTGATTCTTTGGGAATGGTACACCAATTGACTCTGAGTTCTTGAACTCTCTTATGGGAGTGCCGTCCACAGAGAAACTGAAAAAAAGAATAAAGTAACAGATAAATCAGTACAGATTTAAGGAAAACCAAGAAACAAAAGATTGAGACTTAAGTTGGAGGGATGAAGTTAAATATAATACTTACACAATGCGCTGAGGATTCCAGAGAATGGAATAGGTGTGGAAATCAGCAGTTGGATCAAACCAGAGATAGAATTGTTGTTCTCTGTTACCCTTTCCTTGACTGAACACATTAGTGTGAAGAATGTAAGGATCACCACTCAAATTTCCCAGGAATTCGAAGTCTATCTCGTCCCATGTAGACCCTTTTGAGGATAGCTGCAAAATTGACATAACATTTAGTAAAATAAACTTGCATATTTAGAAACTAGAAGCCTATTTATTGATATTGTTTAGGAACTTTAAACTTACATAGTAAGCAGTGACAGTGCCTGCAGAGTTTCCACCAACAAGCTTGAGCTGCATATCGATCTTGCCAAATATATACTCATTCTTGGACTGGAAGCCGGAGCCAGAGGCTTTATCCAGAGACAGAGTAAGAAGCTCCCCATCGTTAACCATCTTGGCACGGCCATCTCCCCAAGTGATATCAAAATTTTCGTTCAAGCTACCAGCAGAAGCAACCATCAAAGAACCAAGCAGAAGAAACAAATGCAACATTGAAGCCATAGAAGCTTGGATTGAACTGATCCTATTATGAAACTGAGTGAGGTGTTTAATTGCTAAGTAAGTCGATGAATGTGTTGAGCGTCATGGCTCATATTTATACTGACCCTTGGGTTGTGAAAGTCAGAAAAGGAAAGTCCTGGGAAGGTACTATCAGCTAGGCTGTGGACAGTTGTAGGATGAAAATAATTTGTTAGAGAAAAGTTGCATGTTTGTTCCAGGATAATAAATGAGTAAGACGCGGCTTTGCATTATTTTTTGCGGAGAAGGTGAAGGTGAAGTGATACTTTCTCCGACATTTTACAACCACAGCTATTGCTAGGTCCACTTAGCCAACCCACCGTCAAAAGATCTATCCTACAAGGAGAAAAAGTAGGCTCAAATATTATTTTAAACATTAATTGATCATGTTTAAGTTTTGCAGTGACGCTTTTATCTTTCAGATCCATAGGTTTTCAAAAGTTACACTAACACCCCTATAATTGACAATCATAAGTCAAATCTAGCGACTAATGCAGAATTTCGAATATAGACTAATACATCCCTTAAAGATCACAGAGCATGGCAAGATTAATTATGCAAGAAATATGACCAAATTTAACTCTAATTGTGACTTTACAGTGAATCTGGTTGACAAATAATCGGTCACATGGTTGTGTTCAGATTGAGTTTGTGATAGCTTGATTGACATGATGTCCTTTTAAATAGTCCATTTTATCCTTTCAATAGTTAGTTTCCCTAACATTGGTAAATGATAAGTGTGAAAGTATTATTTTCAGAAATTTATGGGTTTCGGTTTACTTTTACTAAACCTGCGAGATTCCAGAAAGGGAGTCAAACTCTTTAAAAAAGTAGCCCTATAAAGTCAAATATTTGACAACCGACTAAGTATACCGAAAGCAAAAAGATTTTTCATTCTTTAAACAGAAAATTTGTCAGATTATGGATCGTGTCAAAAGTGTATTAATTATTATTTGATTGATGTAAATATTGATCACAGTGAAATTATTCCATTTTTTTTTTTTTTTTTTTTTTTTTCTCCTCTAGTCCTATTCAAGTTTTAAAACTGTTATTATATTGTTCAACATAACACTTACATGACGAATACATTAGTGCAAATCAATTTATTTACTATGAAGTCATAAAAATGGAAAATTATCTTGTATTCTTATTTGATTTATTAAATGTTGATAAATATAAATGTAATGGGAATAATTAAATTAATTGCATATTTTCAGGCGACGACAAAATTATTAAAAACATTTACCTATTTTTGTTTTTGGGTTCCCTCTTTTTAGTAAAGAAAATTAAGATATTCAGTTATAAAATCATATTATAGGATATAGTAACAAGAGGATAATAATTTTGTTTAGTTATTATATGGTTAATTAATTAGAGGTAATTAATTAAATCCTATTATTGCTGATATAAAAAATGGTTGAAATACTTTATTGTGTTTGGTTCTTCACTTCAAAACAATTTAATATGAAATTCTGTAGGTAATATGTGGGTGGTTGCCAGTGATTAATTTGAGCATCATCTTTTACACTTTAACTTGTCATTAGCTGATAAAATCAATTACAATTAAGTATGATTAAGATGGAAAAGTAATAGAACAATATGATGAAATTTCATTGAATCTTCCCTGAAATCTTCACCAATTATACAAGGTTAAGGGTTCCTCAAATTAAAGAAATAATTGATGAAGTGTTGTATCATGAAGCTGCTCTGTTTCAATGTGCTTAATTAATGTGTTTATTATATAGTAATAATCTTAATTAGATACTGTAGACAGTAAAATCTATGGTTGATTCAGAAGGGACAGATCTTGTTAGAAACAAGTCATTGACAATCTGATGGACATGCACAAAGAAAGAAAGGAAATGTGAAGGCTTGGGTGACACCGATGTTGTGTCTACCGTACGCACTCCGACGCTCAAGTCAATACGGTTAAAGGTATTTAGTGAGGGTTGAGAGCGGGAAGGGTTTACCGTAATAATGCGGTTAGGGCTAGACTAACACAAAGTGGCCGGAGCACAACTTTGAGGTGGCTGAGGGTGGTAAAGCTAGTCAAAACTAAAAAGCTAGTCAAAACTAAGCTTTACGGCAGGGAAACAGTGATTCTTAAGAGAGAGAATTTAAGAGCTAAGGCTATAGGTGATTTCAGAATGCATAATCAGAGACATGACCCCTGTTTATAAAGAGGTTGGAGTCCTAGTTGAACTCTGAGTCTTACTTGATAGATGAGTCTCAATTAGGAAAGAAGTGTTATTGCTTGCCTTTATCAGATTAGACTTACCACTTAGTAAGATTCTAGATCTTGACTGAAGTGGAAAGTAAATGAGACTATGACTCATGTTTTGGAACTGTTGTGGGCTAATTAGCTGGAACCCGATTTTGCTTAACTTGTAGGATAGCCTAACTCATAGAGTAGTTAGTTCACAAGGTGGACTTAAGCATATGCCTAACCGGAATTAGGCTAAGGCACTAGGTCGTAATACGTTTATTTCGTTATTGGATCTCATAAGGTCCAATACGATTTTTGACCCATACAAATACTAAAATTTTATCTGTTCAATTACAAAAATGTTGAGGGTATGTAACTTTAATCAAATGATATTATATTAAGGAAAAAAATCTCTTATAATTTAATGTTGTATCTTGTAAGCTTATTATATACATAGTAAAAGATGCATGGCCAAAGTTTGTCATTTTATTTATACTAAGATTGAAAAGAACAAAAAAATTGGATTCTATTAAGTACATGATAAAAATACTATACAAATGACTGTAACAAATAACAAAAGACTTTATGTATTATATGTGCTGGTGGTTTAATTTTTCTCTAAGAGGTTGAACTGCATTCTGCCGGGAGGCCCTGGGGAAATCTCTTGGTATCACTGCAGTAATTGTATATCATGTGGTTCTTCTGAACCCATTTCAATCTCTCTTGACCTGTTGTATCAAGTTCTTGGGAGAGCCAGGACGAAGAAGAAGGTGAGTTTGAAGTGCAAGAAGATTTTCCATTAGACCAAACACAAGCATCAACTTTGAAGTTCCTGTAGGAAGCAGTGAAAGGAGCTTGAGTCCAATCTGTCTTCACAAGTCCACCTCTAGTAGCCCAGTCATCAGCATTCCAGAGAGAAGAGTATATTCTCATTGGCTGATTCTTTGGGAATGGAATAACAATTGACTCTGAGTTCTTGAACTCTCTTATGGGAGTACCATCCACGGAGAAACTGAAATTACAAACAACAAGATTAAGAAAAACAATTCTAAACAAGATAGAATTTAAGTAGAGGAAAGAAATTAAATAGAATACTCACACAATGCGCTTGGGATTCCAGAGAATGGAATAGGTGTGAAAATCAGCACTTGGGTCGAACCAGAGATAGAATTGTTGTCTCTGTTGCCCTTTCCTTGGCTGAACACATTGGTGTGAAGAATGTAAGGATCACCACTCAAATTTCCCAAGAACTCGAAGTCTATCTCATCCCATGTAGAACCTTTTGAGGATAACTGCAAATAATACATAAAAGTTAAGCAACATTAAACTTCTATATATAGAAACTAGAGGTGTCTTTAATATAGTTGATGAACTATGAACTTACATAGTAAGCAGTGACAGTGCCAGCAGAATTCCCAGCGACAAGCTTGATTTGCATATCAATCTTTCCAAATAAATACTCATTCTTGGATTGGAAGCCAGAGCCAGAGGCTTTATCAAGAGACAAAGTCAGTAGCTCTCCATTGTTAAGCATCTTAGCACGGCCATCTCCCCAAGTGATGTCAAAATTTTCGTTCAAGCTACCGGCAGCAGCAACCATGAAACAACCAAGCAGAAGAAACAAAAGCAACATTGATGCCATAGAAGCTTTGATTGAACTGATCATATAATGAAACTGAGTGAACTTTTTATTGTGAAAGTGAAGCGATGAATGTGTTGAGAATGATGGGTTGTATTTATAGTAAAACAACCAGGCCTGTGAAGAGGAGAAGAGGAAGGTCATGGGAAGGTTCAATCTGCTGAGCTGTGGACAGTTGTAGGAATGAAAATAACTATAAAAAAAAAAGAAAAAAAAAAATTGCATGTTTTTTTCAGGATAATGAAAGAGTAAGACGCGGCTTTGCTTTATGTATGCGGAGAAGGTGAAGTGATGCTTCTTTCGCCGACATTTTACAAGCACTTCTAGTACTAGGTCCACCTAGCCCACCCACCGTCAAAAAGTCTATCCTACGCGGAGAAAATTATATTATAAACCTGACTGGATAATGTTACGCTATTTTAAACATTATGTAATGATTATGATTGGGGTTTTGTAGTGTCACCTTTTAATTATGAGATTCATAGGTTTTCAAAAGTTATATTAACACCCTTGTAATTGTCGGTCGCTAGTCGAATTTAGTGAGTAACATAGTGAATAAAGACTAATGGACCCCTTAAAGATCACAGAGTGCGGCAATGTTCTACATCAATGATGGCCAGATTTAATGTAATTGTGACTTTGCAGTGAGATCTGACTGTACTTATGGTCATATTACAACGTTGTCACTGAACCTGGGTGATAAATAATTGGTCACGTAGCTGAAGTCAGAATCAGTTTGTCATGGCTTGATTGACGTAATGCCCTTTGAAATAGTCCAATTATTATCCTTTAAACGGTGAGTTTCCCTAACATCGATAACTCATAAGTGTGTAAGTGTTGTTTTCTGATATATATATATATATATGGGTCTGCATGTTACTGTTACTAAACATGAGAGATGCCGGGAAGGCAGTAAGCCTCTTTAAAAAAGCAAGCTTAGTGAGTCAAATATTTAACAACCGACTAAGTATACCAAAAGCAAAAAGATTTATCATTTCTTACACATGGTAACTCAAGGTTGGGTTGGCTACAGCGCAAATATTTTTATTATTAAATGTCAACATGAAATTATTAAATTATGGGTCATGTCAAAACTATGCTAATAATGATTTGATTGGAGTATATTTAATTATATAATGTTGGCAGATATATTTTACCCTTTTATATATATATATATATT